GTGTGTGTGTGTCTGTCTGTCTGTCTGTCTCTGTGTGTGTGTGTGTCTGTGTGTGTGTGTCTGTGTGTGTGTGTGTGTGTGTGTGTATGTGTGTGTGTGTGTGTGTCTCTGTGTCTGTGTCTGTGTGTGTGTGTGTCTGTGTGTCTCTCTCTCTCTCTGTGTGTATGTGTGTGTCTATGTGTGTGTGTGTCTGTGTGTGTGTGTCTGTGTGTCTGTCTCTGTGTGTCTGTGTCTGTGTGTGTGTGTGTGTCTCTGTGTGTGTGTGTGTCTGTGTCTGTGTGTGTGTGTGTGTGTGTGTGTGTGTGTGTGTGTGTCTGTCTGTCTGTCTGTGTCTATCTATCCGTCTGTCTGTGTGTCTGTCAGTCTATCTATCTATCTATCTATCTGTCTGTATATAAGATTTCTATTTATAATGAGGTTACATCATCTGTCTATCATGTAAAAAATGTAAGTGCATTATAGTAACATATAAAACCTCAAAAACAACCCAAAAAATTAATTGCACCCTAGATAGGTGATTGAATCTTATGAAAACATTTCCATTTTATGTGAAAAAGAAAGGAAAACCCCACAAACACAGAATTTGATTTGATTGATTTGTTTTTATTTTAATTGCAGTAACCTCGTAGGTTTTTCCTAGTAAGTGGGGCAGGAATGTGAGTTACTCTCAACCGGCTCCACTTCATTCTTCATGTGTGTTTTCTGTTTTGTCAGGATGGCTGAGGGCAGCCTGGAGGAGCGCAGTTTGGAGATTCTGGATATTCCTGATGATTTGGACGATGACCTTCTGTCTCTCTACTTCGATAACAAGCGACGCTCTGGAGGAGGGAACGTGGTCTCTTTGGAGAAGCATGGAAACCATGCCTTGGTGGTTTTTGAAGATGCAGAGAGTAAAAAAATACATTAAATAGATTAAAAATACATTATATTTAAAAAAGAAATGAATAAAATGACAATATTACAAGCATACGTGAGCAAAACTTTTGTTTCTCTCACACTAGCTGCTGCCAGAGTTGTCTCCAAGTCCCATGTCCTCCAGAATAACACACTGACAGTGCGGAGGAAACCACCAAAGGACCCTGGAAAGCTGTTGCTGAAAGGGCTCAATCCACACACTTCACTGGACCATGTGGAGCTTTATGTGGAAAATGTTACTGGGATGTGTTGTGAAACAGACTTCATCCTATATCTGTCTCCGAACAAGGATCTGGTTCTAGTGCACCTAAACAAACCTTTAGACAAAGGTTTGTAGCTCATCAGTCTATCAGCAGTACATACAGAAAATACTATCGGCATACTTTGTCTTTGCATCACATAACGTAATAGCATACCAAGTGGTGTTTATTTGAATTAAATATTATAGCACAAGCTAGTTTTCAAGCAAAACATGTCACTAAAAGTGTCTTGGGTTTCACAAGATAATGTTAGTGGAAGATCTTCATGTTAATGTGTTCCTCTACACCTGTGGTTTCTCTGATAGGACACCTGTGTGAGCTGTGTGACTTTATACATCCACTAAACTTCACTAAAACAACAGCTACAGTAAAAACGACGAAGACAATTCTGAGAAAAGCTTAAGCAGCATTCGAACACAGACTTTATAAAAAGAAACAGTAAAGACGTTCATAATGTTACGAAAGATTTCTATTTCAAATAAATACTGTTATTTTCAACTTTCTATTGATTAAAGAATTCTGAAAATAATAAATATTATAAATAATATAATAAATAAATATTTTTTTTGAGCAGCAAATCAGCATATTAGGATGATTTCTGAAGATCATGTGACACTGAAGACTGGAGTAATGATGCTGAAAATTCAGCTTTGCATCACAGGAATAAATAAAA